TCATGGTCTTTCTTCTATGACTGATGGGACATTGAATAGATATTACCCCATACTTCCCATTTGATGACAAAAATTAAGCCCCCTGCCATATCCTGCAAGAGGAATTTATAGCCAAAAAAGATGAATTTTGCAGCCTGGCACTAATGCATGTGTTAAAGGCATCCATTTTGTGTGAAAACATGTGAAGAAAAAAAAATAATTACAATTTTGATACATTGCTGCAAAGTTGACAGGTCGAAATTTGGCTGAAATGGCGTTTTTCAATAAAAGTGGCCAAAATTCAAATTTTGGACAAAAAAATATGCAAATGAAGCCATAAAAAGTAATTTAGTCTTTATTCTACCTATTCTGAAAATTTCATACAAAATCATTCACAACTTTTTGAAAAATATCAATTTTAAAAAATAAATGACCTTACCAGACTGGACTCACTCCACTAATTCATTTGCCATCTCTTCCCATGTTAAAACACGAAATTCAACCTTCTATAACTTTTTCCAGAAATCTCGTTGAAAGCTTTCCAATATGTCGAATGAAAGCCTGACCAATTCTCAATGTCTCCTAAAAAATTCATTATATGATGACCATGAAAATTTTGAGCTACTAAAATTGAAAGTAGACTACTACCGGTTATACTCATCCGCTAGAGTTTGGCACTTCACAAAACGACTATTTTTAGAATTAGCCTTCCGCCTTTAAGTCTCTCATCATCTCACCAAATCTGAAAGATAATGCAATTTCAGGCATCAAATTCCAAATCTAGACCAAATTTTACCCAAAAATAGGCAGGCAAAAACCCCAAAAGGGAGAGAGAAAGAAGATTTCTAAAAATAGCCTGGACTACATTCCTATACAATCATTTGCATAAAATGTTTTAGTGGAGTGAGTCCATAAACTGTAATTGATATTAAATTGAGTTATCTCCTTTTATTACAATATAAACTGTAATGGATATATAAAATTGAGTAATCTCCCTTTATTACAATATAAACCTTAATTAATATATAAAATTAAGTTATCTCCCTTTATTACAATATAAAATGTAATTGATATATGGAGTTTTCTTCAATTATTACAATATAAACTGTAATTGATATATAAAATTGAGTTATCTCATTATTACACTATAATCTATTATTGATATGTAAAATTGAGTTAGTTCCCTTTATTACAATTTAAACTGTAATTGTTATACAGAATTGAATTACCTTCCTTTATTACAATAAAACTCTAAGTGATATATAAAATTGAGTTATTTCCCTTTATTACAATATAATCTATAATTGATATGAAAAATTGAGTTATGTCGCATTATTACAATATAAACTGTAATTGATATTAAATTGAGTTATTTCCCATTATTACAATATAAACTTTAACTGATATATGGAGTTATCTCCAATTATTACAATAAAACTGTAATTTATGTATAAAATTGAGTTATCTTACTTTATTACAATATAATCTATAATTAATATGAAAAATTGACTTATATCCAATTATTACAATCAAACTGTAATTGATATATAAAATTGAGTTATCTCCCATTATTACCATATAAACTGTAAATGATATATGCAATAGATTTCTTTCTCTTTTTTACAATTTAAACTGTAATCAATATGTAGAGTAGAGTTATCTCCCATGTTTACAATTAAACAGAATATTATATATAAAATTGAGTTATCTCCCATTATTAAAATATAAACTTTAATTGATTTTTAAAATTGAGTTATCTCCTATTATGACAATATTAATTGTATATGATATATAAAATTACGATATCTCACTTTATTACAATATAAACTCTAATTGATATATGAATTGAGTTATCTCCCTTTAATACAATATAAACTGTAATTGATCTATAAGATTGAGTTATCTCCCATTATTACAATATAAAGTGTATTTGATATCAAATTGAGTTATCTCCCATTATTACAAAATAAAGTGTAATTGATTTATAAAATTGATATATTTCCTAATATGGCAATATAAACTGTAATGGATATATAAAATTGCGTTTTCTCCCTTTATTACAATATAAACTGTAATTGATATCAAATTAAGTTATCTCCCATTATTACAATATAAACTGTAATAGATATATAATATTGAGTTATCTCCCATTATAACATTATAAACTGTATTTGATATATAAAATTGAGCTATCTCCCTTTATTACAATATAAACTGTAATTGATATACAAAATTGAGTTATTTCCCATTATTACAATATAAACTGTAATTGATATGTAAAATTGAGTTATCTCCCTTTATTACAATATAAACCTTAATTGATATATAAAATTGCCTTTTCTCCCTTTATTACAATATAAACTGTAATTGATATTAAATTAAGTTATCTCCCATTATTACAATATAAACTGTAATAGATATATAATATTGGGTTATCTCCCATTATAACATTATAAACTGTATTTGATATATAAAATTGAGCTATCTCCCTTTATTACAATATAAACTGTAATTGATATATAAAATTGAGTTATTTCCCATTATTACAATATAAACTGTAATTGATATGTAAAATTGAGTTATTTCCCACTATAACAATATAAACTGTAATTGATATATAAAATTGAGTTATCTCCCCTTAATACAATCTAAAATCTAATTAATATATAAAATTGAGTTATCTCCTATTATTTCAATATAAACTGTAATTGATTTATAAAATTGAGTTATCTCCCATTATTACAATATAAATTGTAATTGATTTAAGAAATTGAGTTTCTTCTCATTATTACAATATGAACTGTAATTGATATATAAAATTGAGTTATCTCCCATTATTACAATATAAATTGTAATTGATTTAAGAAATTGAGTTTCTTCTCATTATTACAATATGAACTGTAATTAATATATAAAATTGAGTTATCTCCAATTATAATAATAAAAACTGTCCTTTATATAAAAGAATCTCCCATTATTACAATATAAACTGTAATTGATATATAAAATTGAGTTATCTCACTTTATTACAATATAAACTCTTATTGATATGTACAATTGAGTTATCTCTCATTATTACGATATAAACTTTAATTGATATATAAAATTGAGTAATCCCCCTTTATTACAATATAAACTGTAATTGATACATAAATATGAGTTATCTCCCATTATTACAATATAAACTGTAATTGATATTAAATTGAGTTATCTCCCATTATTACAATATAAACTGTAATTGATTTATAAAATTGATTTATTTCCTAATATGACAATAAAAACTGTAATGGATATATATGGTGGCCTACCGCTATCATTCAAAAAATAACAAATTTTCAATAAAAAATAATAAAAAACACAAATGAAAATTGAATTTAAACTAAATGAAAAATAAAAGTGAACTTAAATTCAATTAAAAAGAAAATATAAATCAATTCAAACGAAAATGAAGAGTAAATTTAAAATAAATTCCAACAAAAAATGAATTCAAAATCAATTTAAAAAAAAAAGACACATGAAATTTAAAAAGAAAGCAAAGTGAAAATTATGTGGAGCCTACAGCTATCACAGTATACCACAATGCATTGCGCACAGGTCGATTTATCTCAATGGGTGTCGGCGATTTGTTTCCAAGGGAGGTAACATGTTTCACTGTAATAATCACCCGCACACGATTCTGATATTTCATTATTGTTAACATTTAAAATTTAAGAATTATGTCTTTCTAGTGGGCAAAGTTGAAAGAAAAAATGAAGGCTAAGAGAGCGAAACCAAAACAAACAACATTGGCCTTAGGAGTAGATCATATACTTCAAGAGGAATGTCTTGTCGTTCAAAGACTAAGTGCGGGTGTGTCCGGGAAAGCACAAAAATACACTCGAGTTGGTGCAAGAGAATTTGTTTCCTTTCCATATACAGAGGTTTCGATTAAAAATATTACTTCAGCATGTGATGGGCACTTTGTCGATGTCGATGTGATGTATTAGCAGGGGAGTAAGGACCATCGTGCCACTCATTGAAACAGTTGCCTGATCTTAAAGTAATCGATTTGTTGAGAACTCTTTAAGTTTGATCAGCAAACCTACATTTCCAAAGAATGCAAGAAAGAATACCATTAAAATGACATCATCAGATGGTGATAATATACGTATTAATGATAGTACTGGTAATATAGACACAGCTAAAAGTAAGTTTATTCAAAAGAGTCTGTCAGCGGTACAAATGATGAAACTCGGTAAAGCTATCAATGATTCAGTGAAATGCATAGAATTCTTAATTGATGGAATGTGTTGGTCAACTCCAACTGTTGTTGATTTCCAAGTAGAAAATGAACCATTAGGTACAGGTGGTTTTAGATGTGCATAAGGCTATTTGCAAATCTGGAAATTTCTCTGATAAAACGTGGGTAATGAAGAAATATCTTCCCAAAACTATTAAAGAGATAGAAGCTATTAATCAGACTGTTGAACAACACACAAGGAAACAAGTGCAAATTCACTGTTTGGCTAGAAACATAGCTGGAAAATTGAACTGTGACATTGACAAGATTAACAGAAAAGTTGACTTTGGAGAAACATTCCAATACAACAAAATAGTTCTTGGAAAAATTGGGGAAAAAGAATTTGTGACTTTAGAAGAATTCATTGAGGGAAACTTTAGTAAATACATCAATAATGATGGGGCTGTATGTAATGATAATGATCAAGATGTGATTGATAAAGCTGAGTGTCTGGTATACTATTCCTACTTAAAATCAGATAAAGAACTTGCTATTGTCGACATTCAGGGCTGTGGCTACTATTTATGTGATCCTGAAATAGCTTCAAAAACAGCTTTTCTTAAAGATGAACTTTTGTTTACAACAGGCAATCTTTCTGAAAGTGCAATAAACAACTTCTTGGATGCACACATATGTAAAAAATTTTGTCAAATACTTGATCTTGATATACATTGAATGTCTTTATAATTGAATTCTGAATTAAGATCTTCTAACAGAATCAATTAGAGTGGTTAATGTGTTATGTCAAATTGAAGTTTTTTATTTTTTATTCTAATATTAAGTATGGAAATGAATAGTCGCCTATTAATCATCTTCACATTGGCAAGCTTTGAAATGTGTTTAATACCTTGACATCATTAGGCACAATCATATTAGAACTATGAACAATTTGGCAGTAATTAAGTTTTAATATGTTTATGTAGGCTATGAACCCAATCAAATGGCTGCATTGATGGAATGCCTAATGGTGTCAAGGCATTAGATGCAGTTTGTAATAGCTTGACATGATTGTATATCATCATTTATATCCAAGATTCTTGATTGACATTATAATGATATATACTGTAATTTGCAACTTTTTATACGCCCACATTGTAATGTAATCGTTTATTGTCTTCACGTCTGTCGGTCCGTCCGTCCACAATTGGCTTGTGAACTCGATATAGACACCTGATTTGAATGAAATTTGGTGTGAACATTTATATTCATGAGATCTTGGACAAGTTCGAATTTGGCTATTTTTCGATGAACGGTTTTTGAGTTATTGCCCTTGACTTGGTCAAAATGCGTAAAATTGGCTTGTGAATGTGATAGAGACTACATTTATCATTGGATTTGAATGAAATTTAGTGAGAACATTTGTAGTCATGAGATCTCGGACAAGTTTGAATTTGCTTATCTTTCGATGAAAGGGTTTTTGAATTATTGCCCTTGACTTAGTCGAAACGCATCAAAATTTGTTTGTGAACGCAATAGAGACCATAGTTCTCATCTGATTTGAATGAAAATTGGTATGATCATTTATATTGATGAGATCATGGACAAGTTTGATATTTATGATATTTCCATGAACGGATTTAGAGTTAGAGTAAGTCAAAATATGTTGAAATTGGCTTTTGAATGCAATAGAGACTTCAGTTTTCATCTGATTTGAATGAAATTTTGGGGGATCATTTGTATTGATGAGGTCTTGGTCAAGATTGATATTAACAATATTTTTGATACGATTTGACACAAATTGGCGAATGCTCATGGTATAATATAAATTGATTGTGGAAGTGGGTGTATCTTGCTAGGCAACCACTTGCTTAATCTTATAGTTAAATTGTTACCTTCATTTTTCTTATCCGCCTGACAAGGCTTGATTTCAACTAAATGTCATATTTGTTAAAAGAATAATATACTAAGACTAAAAGTGTTAACAGTGTACCAGTTGTATCAAGTCTTTATTTCTTTTGCAGTTGCAGTCAGTTTCATAATTCATTGAATCCCATTATTAGTTTCCTAAAATGTTGTTGATAATTATCAGCAGTTCAAATCTCAGATAGAGATTATATATGATTATTATATTTTTTGTGATATTATCTTACTGAAATAAAACGTATGAACTACTAAATAGTTTTCATCCTTCTTTGAAACCATTTTCCTTAACTTATAAAACCTTAAAGTCAAAATAGCCCCTCGAAAATCAAAATAGTACCTAAATCTATTTTATTTCATAATTGAGCTAATCTAGTAAATGTATGACTTTGATATTGTTTGATTTGGTTGAAATCAAGGAGTGATATTTTGACCTATTTTTATTTTTCGGGACCATTTTGACTTGGAGCCAAGATGTCTATATATAGCCCAACTTATATAATGGTACTCTGGTAAACTATGGTGAGCATGCACTGTGCTTAATGCAGGAATACAGTGCTTCAGTCTTTTGGGTTGTAAATAGATGTTGTATCTTCTGTCACGGGATCACGTTATTGTGAAATCAGCTGCAGATTTATTTCAAAATAATACATGTCAATTTAGGCAAGATCATGCAAACAGGGTAAAAATGACCTCTTGAATAATATCTATCAAGATTTTTACATTCAAGTTCATTACTCCATATAACTTGCTAGGCAAGGTAACATAACCTCACTATTATAATTAACATTGGTTTATTATGCCACTATCATACAATTCTTTTTAGGAATACATATGCGTCAATACATTCATAGGGTTTAATTTCTTCTGCTTGAGGTATAAATTGTTCAAATTTTTCACGCAATTCTTTGCTAATAAAGTCATCATCTATATCCATCACACCAGAAAGTTCAGCAACTTCCTCTAACTGTTCATCAGTGACATTCCAACCAGTAAAAAGGATTATAGAGAAATAACTCCACAAAAAAGTCCTAGCATCCTTAAGAGGGTAATAAGAATTATAATAGATTTGATTGAAAATATAAAATACAGGTACTAACGATGAATTTTGATTTCTATTTTCTATTTATTATCATATTTTAGTTTTAATATTCAATTAAAAGGTGAAAACTGCTTCATACAAAAACATAAGACTTGAAACATTGCATCATACACAAGGAACATACTACAGTCTTGCAATTCATAACTTTCGGGAAAGCTGTATATATGGTTTGGAACACCAGCTGGCAAAATATTTTTCTGTTGTCTAATTCGATGAGTATTCCAAACTTCATCTTTAAAAGTATTAAGTTCTCTTTGTAGAACAGGTATCATCACAAAAGCAAGTAATGACCTGAAAAAATGCAATTATAATTCTGAATGATATACAAGAGCTGCAGGTTATTTAGTTGTTACAACACGCATTGGAATGGAAAGATGACCTGAATTACATTTCATTGTTGTCCATCCTGTAAG